AGAGAGAGAGAGAGAGAGAGAGAGAGAGAGGTAGACGGAGAGGGAGAGAGGGAGGGAAAAGAGCGTGACATACACGCGTGCGGAGCGGAAAGAGAGGCGGCGACGAATCCTTGGGAAGGCTCGACTTCGCGCGCCTCTCGCGGTTGGTCCTGTGCTACTCGGCAACTTCTTCGCTTGGACGAGAGACAGAAAGATAGACAGAGAGAGCGAGAGCGGAGGGCTGTCTGACGAAGGCTTTGATTGAGGTGTCTGCTTCGGGTGAGGTGCGGTGCGACTTGCCGCTTGCGACCCGAGCACCATGGGGAAGAAGTGCACGTATCCCGCCGGGTGTCCCAAGCAAGCGTTGTTTGGCATGCCTGGAAGCAAGAAGCGTGAGGTGAGAGAATGGAAACGGAAACGCCCAGCAGACTTGGTCGCGATTGATGCGGTGCGAGTGCAAGAGCTTGGGCCGAGAGATATCGTTGGGGTGCGATGTGTATCCATACGTGCAGCACATTTTTGGGCCGTCATGATACAGCAGAGTTCATGCGGAGAACTCCTCTTGAAAAGCATTTTCAACGAGATCTTTGATAGGAAATGCTATGTACGCAGCGACCCCCACTTGCCTTTGATGAGCTTCTGCTGTTGAACGGTTGCTCTTGCAATCTGAGTGCACCACGGTTCTGATAAATTTAGATTATAAAACAGCAGTGTTTTTTTTTTTTTCGAGACACAGCAGCAGCATGGCCCGACACCCGGCACGTACTTCGAACCAGGTTCGAACATGCATCGGCAATTCTCTTGACTGGAAAAGGTAACCTAATCGATCATGTAAATTTCATCTTCATCACGCATGACTCCTGTGCCCGCCTCTAATAAACGGTGTCGCTTGTGTGCGCAGGCGAGGGGAGAAACAAGGCGGAAACATTGCTACTATAACATACTTGTATTCACTTGATCAAAAAGGATCTCGCATACTGCTGTTGTCACATTTTCTCTGTGCACATCAAATGATGACATATTTTCTGCCGTCATGCGTCCGGGGCATCATCGTGTGCATGCCCAACCCCGCCCAGCATGGCTGCCCGCGGAGTAGTTGTTGCACTGCTGTATGGACCACCAGAACAAGAAGTGACGACAAAATTCTAGACCAGCACGCCCGATTGCATTTGCTGTGGTCTTTCTTGAAAACATCTCCTCTGTAGACAAGAAACACGATTGTCAGTCGTGGTCGTGAGCTCAATTGAAGTACGGCAGTCGACGGCAGTACATAGCTAACTCTGCTGTGTATGCAGCCGTCCCATATACCTGGCAGCTGTATGTAAACCACGATTTTCTGGGCACCAGCCAGTGGGTGCAGACCTCTTCAAAGTCGAAGATATGTTTTGTTTTCAGAATAACTTCAAGAGTGAGAGACCACCGCGCGGCCCCCGACCAAGCCTCGAATTTTGTCTCGTGAGAATGGTCTTAGCCAAAATTCATTTCCTAAAGTCAACGGACGAATACATCTCGTAGTCACCGCACCGCTGTGTTTGTTAGGTACGAGATGCGAAGAGTACCCACCTTGGCGGGATTCGCAAAACAAAGAAAGCTAGCCACAGCCATTTGGGCCGACTTCGAGTTTTCAACCTGAGCGATATGTAGGCTCTCTTTGGTGCTCTTTACCTCAAGGTTAGGGTTACTTCGGAAAAGCCGAGGTGGTCTGGGGGGATGCCCGTGCAAAGGATCTCGTCGGAAGCAACCACGATGACAAAGGGCGTGGTATCGCCGTACGTGCAAGCAGCATCTATTATAATTTCAATGATTGGCCCTAGGTTTCGTTTGGACATCATTTTTTTACACCTCAGAAAACGAAAGCGACAGAAGTGCAGAAAACGAGATAAAGTGTATTTCTGTAAGAAGACGCGACAGCTATCTCTACCTATTGGCGATGCGGGCAGCCCGCTACAGGGTGGTGGCCACAGGCAGAGTCATAGAAGTGTTGATGGGTGGTCACGCCGCGGCCGGTAGGGCAGGTACCTTTGTAGACCTTGAAATGATCAGTCGTCTAGCTGCCTCCACTACTCTATTTTCTGTATATTCTGATGATAAGTGAAAGTGATCAGTGAGAGGGCTTGTAGGCCCAGCTAGTGTTTTCAGGGCTCTATACGTTTCTGTCCCCCCCCTCACGTGAGCCTGATCGGTCCTGTGGGAACAATGCTCCGTCCTCTCGAGGACGAGTGGTCAATGGTCTAACCGCTAAGGCATGCGAAACATAAGAGTACGCCCCCCCTCACGTGAGCCCTGCCGGTTCACTAGAGCTCCTGTTTTTCCCCACAATCATACAAGCACACCAGCACACATACCTACGAGCGGCTTCCACGGTTCGGGCGAGGGTATATGTGGAGCTATCACGTGTATGTACATGTCGTATATATGCTGTTTTGTTTCACTCATCTTCACTGCTGTTGGGTAGTGTGGCAGCTGACACGATGACTGCTGGAACTTGGAAAGGTACGATTGAACAATGATTGATGCAGCATACCACGATATCCTGGCTTCGGCTGGGCTTGAAATACCCCCATTTGGCAGCCCTTCGCTCTTTGGATCAGTGACTGCCTAGGTTTGGGCGAGGGTCGCGCGTGGTGCTGTGATTTATGTGTGTGTGTGTGTGTGTGTGTGTGTGTGTGTTTATTAGCATCGACTGCGCTTACCGGCTGACCAATGAAAAGACCCCAGTCTTGGAGCGGTTAAAAACGCAAAACACTTCTATCTGCCATGAACTGGGACCCCGTGAGGGGGCAGCATGGGGGGG